CAATAGACATCAATGACCTCTCGAAGGCACATCAGCAGACAATAACCTACCTTTACATCAATGACCTTTCAAAGGCACATCAACAGACCTCACTGACCTCTCGAAGGCACATCATCAGACCTCACTGACCTCTCGAAGGCACATCAACACACAATAACCTACCTTCACATCAATGACCTCTCAAAGGTACATCAACAGACATCACTGACCTTTCGAAGGCACATCAACAGACATCAATGACCTCCGAAGGCTCTGACCTCTCGAAGGCACATCAACAGACAATAACCTACCTGGAAGGCATCAACAGACAATAACCTACCTTTACATCAATGATCTCTGAAAGGTACATCAACAGACATCAATGACCTCTCGAAGGCACATCAACAGACAATAACCTACCTTTACATCAATGACCTCTCGAAGGCACATCATCAGACCTTCATCAATGACCTCTCGAAGGCACATCAACAGACAATAACCTACCTTTACATCACGGCACATCAACAGACCTCACTGACCTCTCGAAGGCACATCAACAGACAATAACCTACCTTTACATCAATGACCTCTGAAAGATTAATCAACAGACATCACTGACCTCTCGAAGGCACATCAACAGAGCTCAACAACCCACCTATACATCATTAACTTTTCAAAGACACATCAACAGACCTCACTGACCTCTCGAAGGCACATCAACAGACAATAACCCATCTTCCCATCAATGACTCTGCCTCTCCTCTCGACCAGACCACATCCAGCGCATCCTGAAGGGCCCAATATCCCAAGACGATCCCCAGCTGGTGCAGTGGGTCAAGAGCCAGCTGGTGGCGCCCTCTCGCCTCCCCTACAACCTCTCCCTCTCCATGTCTGGGATGCACAAGGAGTTGGAGATCAAGGGGGAAAATGCCTTGATAAGCCCCTCACAGGAGTTCATCCTCGAACATGTGGAGGACATGTTTGGCGATGAGGTAGGTTTTTTGTTTTTTTGTTTTTTGTGTCTGTTTGTTTGCGTCTCTCTCTCTCTTTCTCTTTCTTACTCTTTCTCAGTTTCTTTTTTTCTCTCTCTCTCTCTCTCTCTCAATCTCTCTGTCTGTCTGTCTGTCTCTGTCCTCTCTCTCTCTTTCTCTGTCTGTCTGTCTCTCTCTCTCTCTCTCTCTCACTCTCTCTGTCTTCTCCTGTCTGTCTGTCTGTCTGTCTGTCTGTCTGTCCTCTCTCTCTCTCTCTCTCTCTCTCTCTCTCTCTCTCTGATCTGCTCTGTCTGTCTATCTGTCAGTCTGTCGCTCGTGTGAGAAGTAGAAAAAAATCCTTAAAAGATATTTCTATACTTTCTCGAACTTTTTTTCTTCTTTTTTTATTGTTATTGTTTATCGAATGTTTAGTTTTACGACTGAACACATAATATATATTAAGGAATGATTAGACTGCAGATTACCACATTAATCATGCTATTGTTTATTCAATTTTATCCCATAATGTAATGTTTTTGATATAATACATACATACGAGTATTTGTAAATATGACATAAAAGTCTTTGTTTTTTCCAAAGTGAAGTCAAACTTAATTTTGTGAACAAATACAGGTACCAGGTATTGGCCAGCTAAGACTAACTGTTAATTGTATGTCTTTCTATTATAGGATTTTTGCTGCGCTTGTGTGTGTGTGTGTGTGTGTGTGTGTGTGTGTGTGTGTGTGTGTGTGTGTGTGTGTGTGTGTGTGTGTGTGTGTGCGTGTGTGTGTGTGTTGTGTGTGCGTGTGTGTGTGTTTGTGTGTGCGTGTTTGTGTGAGTGTGTGTGTGTGTGTGTGTGTGTGTGTGTGTGTGTGTTTGTGTGTGTGTGTGTGTGTGTGTGTGTGTGTGTGTTGTGTGTGTGTGTGTGTGTGTGTGTGTGTGTGTGTGTGTGTGTGTGTGTGTGTGTGTGTGCGTATGTGTGAATGTACGTGTGTGCCTGCTTGCATTCTTCTGTCTGTCTATTTGTCCATGTATTTTTTTACATCTATATCAACGTTTGACTGCACACCAACACTCAACCACGCCGCTCCTCCCCTCCCCCTCCCCCTCTCCTCCCCCCCTTTCCTTCCCTGCAGCTCGAATACCCTCGCCTGTTCCTCGAGGCAGGCGCGTACGACGGGGAATTCCTCTCCAACACGCTCAACCTCGAGTATGAGTACAAGTGGAGGGGGATCTTGGTGGAGGCTAACCCGACCTTCTTCGACCGCCTCCTCAAGAAGCATAGGAAGTCTTGGGCCCTGAACGCGTGTCTTAATACCAAGCCTTATCCGTCGCAGGTTTGTGTGTGGGCTGTATTTTCTGTCTGTTTGTCTGTTTGCTGTCTGTCTCTGTCTGCTGTGTTTCTGTCTGTCTCTGCCTGTCTGTCTGTTCTCTCTCTCTCCCTTTCTCTGTCTGTCTCTCTCTCTCTCTCTCTCTCTCTCTCTCTCTCTCTCTCTCTCTCTCTCTCTTCTCTCTCTCTTTCTCTCCTTCTCTCTCTCTCTCTTTCTCTCTCCTCTCTCACTCTCCTTTGTTTGCCTATGCTTTGTTTTTTTTTTTCTTTTTTTTGTATCATTTGTTATTCACCTTTCTTTTGAAGACCTGCGTCATCCAGTTAAATTTTGTTTTTATTTATCGCTGTATATTGTGACAAAATTACTGCGTTCACGGAATTAAAGAAAAAAAACTATATGCCATAAACATTAATATACTTTCATTAGATATATATTATACTGTGCGTAGTAATAAATTGCTTTTGTAAATATAAAACATATATTTCAACACAAAACACATATATGTCTGTGTACTTACTCATATGTACACACACATCTAAGCAGACTATGTGTTATTATAGATGCCGTGTCTATGTACTTACTCACATGTACACAAACATCTAAGCAGACTATGTGTTATTATAGATGCCGTGTCTATGTACTTACTCACATGTACACAAACATCTAAGCAGACTATGTGTTATTATAGATGCGTGTCTATGTACTTATCACATGTACACACATCTAAGCAGACATGTTAAGATCGTGTGTCGTGTACTTACCTCATGTATGCATTAAGCAGACTATATGTTATTATAGATGCCGTGTCTGTGTACTTACTCATATGTACACATACATCTAAGCAGACTATATGTTAGTATAGATACGTGTGTCTGTGTACTTACATGTACACAAACATCTAAGCAGACTATGTGTTATTATGGATGCCGTGTCTATGTACTTACTGCACATGTACACAAACATCTAAGCGACTATGTGTTATTATAGATGCGTGTCTATGTAACTTACTCACATGTACACAAACATCTAAGCAGACTATGTGTTATTATAGATGCCGTGTCTATGTACTTACTCACATGTACACAAACATCTAAGCAGACTATGTGTTATTATAGATGCTGTCGGTCTATGTGTACTTACTCACATGTACACAAACATCTAAGCAGACTATATGTTATTATAGATGCCCTGTCTGTGTACTTACTCACATGTACAGAAACATCTAACCAGACTATATGTTACTATAGATACGTCTGTTACGTGTGTCTGTGCACTTATCATATGTACACACACGTATTACTTCACTGAATCTCAACCTGTGATTTTTCATCTGCACTCAAGCGTCATATGCACTTGGTCCTCCTCTAGTGCAAGATTTTCCTACTCTTTTCCTATTGTGTTAATGAGGAAAATGGTCAAGCAAAACGTGTTTACATTGTGAAGTGACTTGAAGTTCATATTAGAAATGATATGTTGGATTCTTCTGAAAGGTTTAAATGGATCTGATTGGTAGTAATAAAGCTATTGTTACTACGCTTATGATAGTAACGATATTGATAACTTAAGTGATTATATTAATAACAGTAAAAAATAACGAGCTCTAATTGACAACAATAAAATCCAAAATAGCTCAAATGATAATGATAATCATAGACATAACGATAATAAATAATAATAATAGAAAAACAAAAAATAAAACACGACGCCATACAAATCACTTAAAAACCAAAAAATAAAACACGACACCATACAAATCATTAAAAAAACCCCAACCAAACCAAAACCAAAACGACAAAAAAACAAATCAAAACAAAACCAAAAAAAAAAAAAACAAAACTAGCTACCCATAACCAAGACCCTCCAACCACGCCCACAGGAAGCCTTCATGACGGGCGTCGAGAAGCCAACAGACGTAAACAACAACTTGAACGGAAAATACATGCCCGAGATAGAGCACCACATCAGTCTCGGGTCTTCGCGGCTCGCCCAGTTCGACGACAACGTGACGCAGGTTGGTGAGGGAGAATGGGGGGGGGGGAAGGGAAGAATGGGGATAAATGAGGTAAGGAGGAAGGGGGATAGGGTGGGGGAGGAGGGAAGAATGGGAATGAAGGATAAATGAGGTAAAGGAGAGAGGGGAATAGGAAGGGGAGGAAGGACGAATGAGGATAAAAGAGGTAAAGGAGAGGGAGAATAGGGAATGGGGGGGGGGGGGAAGGGGAGAATGGGGGATAAATGAGGTAAAAGGAGAGAGGGAGAAAGGGGGGGAGGGGGGAAGGGAGGATAAATGAGGTAAAGAGAGTGGGAGAATAGGGGAAGGGGGGGAGGGACGAATGGGGATAAAAGAGGTAAATAGGAGAGAGGGGTAATGGGGGAAAGGGAAGAATGGGGATAATGAGGTAAAAGAGAAAGGGAGAATGAGGGGGGAAGGGAAGAATGGGGAATAATTGTGGTAAAAGAGAGAGGGAGAAAGGGAGGAGGGGGAAGAATGGGGGAATGAGAGGTAAATGGAGAGATGGAGAATAGGGGAAGGGGGGGGTGGAAGGGACGAATGGGGACTAAATGAGGTAAAAGAGGGAGGGAGAAAGGGGAGGAGGGGGGAGGGGATAGAATGGGGAATAATTGAGGTAAGAGGAAGGGAGGAATGAGGGAAGGGAAATTGGGGATAATGAGGGTAAAGGAGAGAGGGAGAAGGGGTGGGGGTGGGGAAGGGAAGAATGGGAATAAAGAAGTAAAAGAGAGAGGGATATGGGAAGCATATGGGGGAATGAAAGAGGTAAAAGAGGAGGGATAATGGGGATATGAATGGAGGTAAAAGGAGAGGGATATATGGGGGGGGGGGAGAATGGGGAATAAATGAGGTGAAAGAGGGTAAAAGATAACGAGGGAGAATGGGGGAAGGAAGAATTGGAATAAATGAGGTAAAAGAGGTTAAAGAGAGAGGGAGAGGGAGGGAAGGGAAGAATGGGAATGAATGAGGTAAAGGAGAAGGATATGGGGTGGGGTGGGGGGTAGAATGGGATAAATGAAGATAAATGAGGTAAAGAGAGAGGGAAAATAGGGATGGGGGGAAGGGAAGATGGGGATAAAAATAGTAAAAGAGAAGGAGAATGGGGGAAATGAAAAAGGTAAAAGAAGAGGGAAATGGGGAATATAATTAGTGTAAAGGAGAGAGGGATAATGGGGAGGGGGGGGGGAGGACGATAGGGAAATGATGGAATAAAGGAGAGGGAGAAGGGGGAGGAGAGAATGGGGAATAAATGAGAGGGGGAAAGGTAGAAGAAGGATAGTTGGTGCAGGGAGGGAGAAAGGGGGAAGGGGGAAAATGAGGAATGAAAGAGATAAAAGGGAGGATAATGGGGGAGGAAGAGACGAATGGGGAATGAAAGAGATGAAAGGGAAAGGGAGGATGGGGGGAAGGGACGAATGGGGGATAAAAGAGATAAAGAAGAGGGGTAAAAGGAAGAAGGTGGATAGTTGGTACAGGGAGGAAGAATGGGGGGAATAAGAAGGGTAATTGGTGCACTGAGGGAGAAAGGGAGAAGGGAAGAATGGGGGAATAAATGAAATAAAAGAGAGAGGATTATGGGGAAAAAGAGAATAAAAGGAGAGGACAAAGGGGAAGCAAATGAAGGAAGAGGAATAAGAGAGAGAGAGAAGGAAGGAGATAGGGAGAATAACAAGAGACACTATGCCAGGGTCGTCTGAGAGGGAGAATGGACACGGGAAGAATAGAGAAACAGAGATTAAAAGAGAGGGAATGGAAGAAATAGAATAAAGAGGGGAATGGAAGAGGAAGAGGGATAAATAAGATAGGGAAATTAGGGTAAATAGAGGACGGAGAAAGGGAGGAATAAGAGAGAATGGAAGAGGAAGAGGAATAAACAGAGGGAATGGAAGAAAATAAAAATAAAGGAAAGGGGATGAAAGGAGGAGAGTCATAAAAGAGAGGAAATGTAAGAATGATGATAATGAAAGAAAGTAAATGGAATAATGATAATGATAAAAGAAAGGGAATGGAAGAGATAGAAGAATAAAAGGGAGGAAATGTAAGAATATATAACGAAGAGAGGGAATGGAAAGATAAGAAGATACAAGAATACAGAGAAACGTAAGAATGATATTAATGAAAGAGAGGGAATGGAATAATGATAATAAAGAGAGGAAATAAAAGAAAAAGAAGAACAAAAAGGCGATAACATGGAAAAGAAAGGGACGGGAGTAAAGATGGGAAGAGTGGGAGAGAGAAGAAAGAAGAGAGGAAGAAAGAAAAAGAGATAAGAAGGGATGGATAGTGGAGAAGATGAGAGAAGGGAAAACGGATGATAATGTGGATGGATGCGGATGTGAAGAGGTATGTGGATGTGGGTGGATACTCATACAAAATAAATTAAATGTGGAAAGATTGTGATATGATAAAGTGTGTAGATGGATGAGGATATAATAGATGTGCGGATGTGGGTGGATGCGAGTAAAGGGGGATGTGGATGCGGATACAAAGGAGAATGAGGGGGGAGGGGGTTAGGTGATGATATATAATGGAAAGAGAGATGTGGATGTGGATACTAAAATAGTGGGATGTGATATATAAATGGAGGAGAGATGTGGATTGGATGTGGATATATGGAGAGATGTGGATGTGGATGTGGATATATAAATGGAAAGAGAGATGTGGATGTGGATGTGATGTTAAATGGAAGGAGAAATGTTGGATTGGATTATGAGTGGAGTGGATGGAAGTAGGAGAGGCTGGTTTTATTTAAGCGGAGCAGAAGATGGAAGAAGGAGGAGAGAAAGGAAACGAAAGATAAAGGGAAAGAATAGAAGTAAAAAGAATAAGTAAAAGAGAGAAAGATGACAAGGAAGAGATAAATATGGTGATAAAGAATGAGATAGAACATAGCAATAACTATATTTACGAAGAAGGTAATACGTATTATCATAATAATGCTGGCGATAGTTATAATAAAGATGATATTAATATTATCACTGATATTGATAATGGTTTGATATCAATATTATCAGTGATATTGATAATAGCTGTGAATATGATAATTATCATGACAATTATTAATAACAATCCCTTAAAAAAAACAATAAATAAATTAAAAATAAAAAGAATATTAAGATCTCCATTAAAGTTGACACCACTCTCCAATCGCAGATCATTTCAGAAATCGAATTACGCTTCCATTCACACAATTAATTCAATCTCTCTC